GCTGATGAGAATAACTCAATCGGACAAAGATCAGGCAGAACTACAGAGGGATCTGGACAGACTGCAGGCCTAGTCCAACAAATGGCTCCTGGAGTTCAACCCCACCAAATGCAAAATCATGAAGACTGGGGAAGAGCAAAGAAGACCACAGATGGAGTACAGTCTAGGGGGCCAGAGCCTACAAACCTCACTCAAGGAAAAGGATCTTGGTGTGAATATAACATTGGGCACATCTCCTGAGGTGCACATGAACCAAATAACTGCTGCAGCATACGGGCACCTGGCAAACCAAAAAACAGCATTCCAATATCTAAATAAGGAGTCATGCAGGACCCTGTACACTGTGTATGTTAGGCCCATATTGGAATATGCAGTGCCAGTCTGGAACCCTCACCTAACCAAGCATGTAAGGAAACTAGAGAAAGTGCAAAGGTTTGCAACAAGACTAGTCCCGGAGCTAAGGGGTATGTCCTATGAGAAGGTTAAGGGAAATCGACCTGATGACACTGGAAAACAGGAGATATAGGGGGATATAATAACGACATAAAATACTGAAAGGTATAGACAAGGTGGACAGGGACAGGATGTTCCAGAGATGGGACACAGCAACAAGGGGTCACAGTTGGAAGTTGAAGACTCAGATGAACCACAGGGATGTTAGGAAGTATTTCTTCAGTCAAAGAGTTGTCAGAAAGTGGAATAGCCTGGGTAGTGATGTAGTGGAGGCAGGATCCATACATAGCTTTAAGAAGAGGTATGCTAAAGCTCATGGAGCGGGAAGAGTGACCAGGTAACGGCCAGTTGAAGAGGTAGAGCAAGGAGCTGTGACTTGACCCCCACAACCACAACTACGCGAGTACACATACGTGTGCACGCACGCACACACACACACGCACGCATGCACACACACACACACACACACACACACACACACACACACACACACACACACACACACACACACACACACACACAAACACACACACAAACACACACACACACACACACCAAGCACATCTCCAGAAGCACACATCAACCAGAGAACTGCTGCAGCATATGGGTGCCTGGCAAACCTGACACTAGCATTCTGATACCTAAGTAAGGAATCTTGCAAGACACTGTACAACGTGTACGTCAGGCCCATACTGGAGTATGCAGCACCAGTTTGGAACCCACACAGTGTCAAGCACATCAAGAAATTAGAGAAAGTGCAAAGTTTTGTAACAAGGTTAGTTCCAGAGCTAAGGGAAATGTCCTGCGAAGAAAGGTTAAAGGAAATCGGCCTGACGACATTGGAGGACAGGAGGGTTAGGGGAGACATGATAATGACATACAAAATACTGCGTGGAATAGACAAGGTGGACAGAGAGAGGATGTTCCAGAGAGGAGACACAGAAACAAGGGGTCACACTTGGAAGTTGAAGATTCAGATGAGTCAAAGGGATGTTAGGAAGTATTTCTTCAGTCATATAGTCAAGAAGTGGAACAGTCTGGCGAGTGATGTAGTGGAGGCAGGAACCATACATAGCTTTAAGACGAGGTATGATAAAGCTCATGGAGCAGGAAGAGAGAGGACCTAGTAGCGTTCAGTGAAGAGGCAGGGTCAGGAGCCGAGTGTCGACCCCTGCAACCACAATTAGGCGAGTACATGTATACACACACACACACACACACACACACACACACACACACACACATCAATCAGATAACTGCTGCAGCATATGGGCGCCTGGCAAACCTGAGAACAGCATTCCGACACCTTAGTAAGGAATCATTCAAGACACTGTACACCGTGTATGTCAGGCCCATACTGGAGTATGCAGCACCTGTTTGGAACCCGCACTTGATAAAGCACGTCAAGAAACTAGAGAAAGTACAAAGGTTTGCAACAAGGTTAGTTCCAGAGCTAAGGGGAATGTCCTATGAAGAAAGATTAAGGGAAATCGGCCTGACGACACTGGAGGACAGGAGGGTCAGGGGAGACATGATAACGACATATAAAATACTGCGTGGAATAGACAAGGTGGACAAGGACAGGATGTTCCAGGGAGGGGACACAGAAACAAGAGGCCACAATTGGAAGTTGAAGACACAAATGAGTCAGAGAGATAGTAGGAAGTATTTCTTCAGTCATAGAGTTGTAAGGCAGTGGAATAGCCTAGAAAATGACGTAGTGGAGGCAGGAACCATACACAGTTTTAAGACGAGGTTTGATAAAGCTCGTGGAGCGGGGAGAGAGAGGGCCTAGTAGCAACCGGTGAAGAGGCGGGGCCAGGAGCTAGGACTCGACCCCTGCAACCACAAATAGGTGAGTACAAATAGGTGAGTACACACACACTCACTCACACACACACACACACACACACACACACACACACACACACACACACACACACACACCATCGCTCGCTCACACACACGCTCGCTCACACACGCTCGCTCACACACCCAACACGCTCGCTCACACACACGCTCGCTCACACACACGCTCGCTCACACACACGCTCGCTCACACACACGCTCGCTCACACACACGCTCGCTCACACACACGCTCGCCACACACACACACACACACACACACACACACACACACACACACACACACACACACACACACACCACACACACACACACACACACACCACTCACACACACACACTCACACACACTCACACACTCACACACTCACTCACACACCACTCACACACTCACTCACACACTCACACACTCACTCACTCACTCACACACTCACTCACACACTCACTCACACACTCTCACTCACCAGGAGCTCGGACTCGACCCCGCAACCTCAACTAGGTGAGTACACTCACACACACACTCACTCTCCTCGTGTTGAGCTCAACACGAGATTCAAGAAAGTATTTACAGTAGAGATAGGAAGGGCTCTGGGAAGACAGCACAGAGGGGAACACCAACAAGGAATATACCAACAAGTGTTGGATGACATACACACAACGAAAGAGGAGGTGCAGAAGCTGCTAAGTGACCTAGATACCTCAAAGGCGATGGGACCGGACAACATCTCCCCGTGGGTCCTTAGAAAAGGAGCAGATATGCTGTGCATGCCACTACCCACAATCTTCAACATATCCCTTGAAACTGGGCAACTACCTGAGGTATGGAAGATGGCAAATGTAGTCCCCATTTTTAAGGAGACAGAAATGAGGCACTAAACTACAGACCAGTGTCTCTGATGTATGTAGTATGTGAAGTCACAGAGAAGATTATCAGGAGGAGAGTGGTGGAGCACCTGGAACGGAACAAGATTATAAACGACAACCAGCATGGATTCATGGAAGGCAAATCCTGTGTCACAAACCTTCTGGAGTTTTATGACAAAGTAACAGAAGTAAGACACGAGAGAGAGAGAGGTGGGTTGATTGCATTTGCCTGAACTGCAGGAAGGCCTTTGACACAGTTCCTCACAAGAGATAAGTGCAGAAACTGGAGAATCAGGCGTGTATAACAGGAAGGGCACTGCAATGGATCAGAGAATACCTGACAGGGAGGCAACAATGAGTCATGGTACGTGATGAGGTATCACAGTGGGCACCTGTGATGAATGGGGTTCCACAGGGGTCAGTCCTATGACCAGTGCTATTTTTGGTATATGTTTACCTGGAGTTTACCTGGAGAGAGTTCCGGGGGTCAACGCCCCCACGGCCCGGTCTGTGACCAGGCCTCCTGGTGGATCAGAGCCTGATATGTGAATGACATGATGGAAGGAATTGACTCAGAAGTGTCCAAGTTTGCAGATGATGTGAATAATACATAGCTGTAGATGAATGGAATCATCTGACAGGTGGAATCATGAGAATGAGCACCTTGGGTAGCTTTAATATTAGTGCAACTTTTATATTCAACATTTTTTTATTTTAATGCTCAAGCATTTCATTTTCATGTATCTGATTTACCCAGCTTATTTTTTTTTCCATTTCTTTGTATTGTAATTAATGTTCATACCTGTGACCAACCCAGTTAATGGTTACATTAATAATTACGTATGATATTTTAACTATCTAATACGTATTATAAGGACCCCAATAAAAATAAATCACTGACTTTTCTTTAGAGTAATCCTAGGTAACTTACTAGACAAATATGAGTGAGAAGTTTTGGGTTTGAGAATGACTTTTGAATGGGCCAACAGGCCTACTGCTACAGTACTTTTATTATAAGCATGGGCTGCTTTGGTCAATCTGTTTTACTGAAGTTAGGTTAAGCTTTAGTCACTCTCTTATACTGAAGTTAGGTTAAGTTCCTTAAGTAGCGTTGTTAGGTAAAACTTGTTTTTCCAGGAAGGCCATAACACTACATTGGTTATCAATATAGTAACTGAGAGGGTCCAGGACCCACCACTAAACTCTGGCAAGTACAACTTGGAGTACAAGCGAGTATAAGAAGGTAAGTATATGTAGATGAGTACATATGAGGGTAACCAGGTAAGTATACGTTATTGTAACTACACGAGTACAACCAAGTGAGTACATGTGAGTATATAAGTGAATACAACTAGGAAAACAGAAGAAAAGTAAAGAGAGTACAAGCTCAAACAGCCACGTGAGGACTGAGTGGAGTGGATGGAGTGGGCAGGGCAGGGCAGGCCAGCCACTTGTCACAGCCACGGTGGGCAGGACTCTACTTCTGCCCCAGGGAATCAATAAATTCCCTTGCCTGGGATAACAAGACGACATAATGCACCCCAGGACGGCATTCCCCGCGTAATCTCTGCAAGACTTGTCCCAAGAGACTGTGTGAACATCTTCAAAGATGCTGCCCAGGCTTGACAGGCCCAGGTAAACAAAGACTGGCAATGAGAAAATCATGGAGGCATTAGAAAGCCTCCCGGTACCCGTCCTCTCCTCTTTTATCTAATAAAACTTTATTATGAAGGCATCTCGCGTTGCCACGAGTGGAGGGAATAAAATTCGTATGCGAATTGAGAAGATTATGACGCCGAGTGGAATATAGTGCTTACCTTTGATGATTTCCTTGTAGAAATCAGATGCTCCCTGGTGAACAAGGCTGTAGTAGAGACTGATGTACTTGGCGTCTCCAGACATGTGAAAAAATCATAGAAAAACTCGCACAGACTCACAAGGGCCCCTCCCACAACACACATACACCCTCCTAGCACCTTCTCCAGCCCTGTATTCCTTCAATATCGCCTTCAAATTCGCTTCATCAAGGCAGCAGATTTTTATTTCTTTTTTGTAGCTTTTTTTTTACGTTTATTTTTACCCTATGGATTTTATGACATCATTTGTTGTGAGGAGGTAAGCCCCGCCCACGTCTGCCCGCCGGCCAATCACAGCTCAACTTCTCTCCGATCAATTATACCTGGGTATTTTTATATATTTTTTCACTAAATATATACATAACTTCTTAGTTACTATAACCATTCAATATTCCCTTCAATCTCGAATATTTAGATCGTAAAATGCGGAAAATTTCGGAGTTTAATTTTAAATTCGAAACTTATGGAAAAATTAATAATGTTGTCCGCAAATTAATGTGAGCGATGGTTACGTTAAGGTGAGATTCATTCACTTGATGTAACTAGCAGAAAGTGAGATAATATATTAACGATACGTCGAAGCCATGAGCAAATTATATTGCATAAGCTGATGCAAGCAAAGCTTACTTTGTTTTACTTCGGATCGCATATAACTCTATCTGTTTATTATTTAAATTTTTATATATTTTTTTGGAAATGTAAGTAGTCATATGAAGAGTAATTAAAATGTTTATGTTCTGTAAATTAAATATTTACCGCTTGGGCTTCAGTAGTTAACAATAAATCATAATTGTAGGGATAAATAATCCAAAGTCAAATTACATTCCAAAACGCAGCACCGTCATAACAGTGATATTAATGCGTTCAACAAACTAGTTTCTCGGTTATATTTTCTTTTCTTTTCATATGATTAACATATAATACCTTTAGAGTTTAAATATGTCATAAAATACTACATTAAGCAAAACTAATTTATAAATGTATGTATTTTATCTTTATTTTCAGTGCGGAGTAATACGAGTGAGGCTGGTGAAAGTGATGTTGGCTGGACCTCTCAGTTTCCCCACATGTCGACTAGAAGAGAGTACTATATTATACCTTCTGTGTTATCATTGCCAATATGATAGCTTAAACGGACCAAAACTCACGCGCCCTGCGCGCAGTACAACGCAAACATGATGGAGTAAGTATTGTTTCAGGAATTTGTTTAATAGTGGAAAAAAGTTAAAATATTAAGTGGTGTCTCGGGTCTGGTGTGCTTGATGGCGGACTGGTAAGAGGCAGATCAGTTATCTGCCGCAGGCATATCTGCTCTTCCTCGCCTTATCTTAATGCATATGACTTAAACAGATATCTTTAATTCTGTCACTTCAAAATAAGCTTTAATAAATAAATGTACATAATAGATTTAACGATAATGGTTATTTGGGACCAGTAGCAGCTACTGCGCACTTCATCCCATCTGACCATTTTATTAATTTAGCAGCTGTATTACCTTTGTGGGTTTAGCACTTAGTTTTGATTGTTGTAATAATTTATTTTTATATTTTATTTTAAAAAACATACATTAAACAAAAGTATACAGAATCAGATCATCGACAGTCATCATTGTTTAAACACTGCAATATCCAGTAATGTGAAATATATACACTCCATGCAGCTGATAGATGTATACTGCCATTATACATAATTCCATTACAACAAAATATAAATGCAAATTAGACAAAATACAGAATCCTCTTACCCCTTCCCATCTGCAAATTCCAATATACACACAGTAAAATTACATGCCGCAAAAATGCAAGCAGTATAACTACCCCCCGACCTATTTACCCCAATTCACCAAAATGTACAACATTTCACCATTGTCAGTTTAACTTATAAACTAACCAAACTAATTTAAACCTAAGAATATATAATGACAATAACAACTCTACAGTAGTGAAAAAAGTCAGCTGCTATCCTAACATTTTAAATGTTTTATCAAAAAACATTTTACAGTGTATACATAGTGCTATACATAAGCTCACTGGAGCCAAGACACCAACAGTCCTAACAGGTAAAATACAATACCAAATACATAACAGTACCACAATAAATACTCATGCCACCGACTATAGCCATGTCCCATCCCCTATACCCTATCCACCTTTCACATATTTGCTTTCCTACATATACACGAAACGCGCGTATATTATACCTAAGCTTGTACAACTAACAACATGTAGGGCACACAGTGACTTACAATGTTCGTCAAGATTCAAAAACACCCTAACATAAAATGAAAAATACAGCTCTGTTTTAGGTCTCATATATATGAGGGAAAAACTCCATCAAAATTATAGTGCATATAAAGCAGTACTTTGTTATAACATAAATCAGTGACAACCGCCAGATATCCTCACAACATAAATTCAAAGGTTAATTAACACGTGATAACAGAGTCCTCTACAAAACCCAGGCATCCCCAGGTGCACAGGGCAACAAGCATAAGCGAAGTATGTTAAGTGGAACACAATACATGTAAAGCATACCATTCAATAGAGACTCTACAACACTATAATGGATAACTAATCATACAAAAGCAGACATGTTTATTATTGCAACTTAGATAAATAACACAACCAACGTTGCAACTAATGCAACTGGCGAAGCCATTGCTCATCCACACCAAACATCCTCCCCTCCCCCCCTCCCGGCGCATCCACCCTTATCATACTACTACTACTCAGTCCACTTTCACGCCAGATCATCGCTGTCAACCAGCCCATTGCCATCCTGTTCCAATTAATCCATGAAGTTTTACCACCGTCATACTGCAATACCCCTCAGGAAAAAATGCAACCCACCTACTACCATAGACACTTCTGTTTCTGCACATTGTTCTATAAAAATGTGCAGCCAACGTCCTGATCTTACCAGTGCCCCGTACCTCACACATTCCCCAGGACATGTACAAATAGTCCACGATGATATATCTTAACGGTCGTGCCACATCTAGTGTCACCCCCATCCACGTCAAGGAGTAACGCCCTTAACATAGCCACCCTCCCCCCTCCCAACATCCCGAAAACACCTCGCATCCACAACCTTACCTCTTCTAGGGATGGACAAAAAAAACACTGCGTGAAAAGCCGTTTCTTCATCACCACAATGCACGCAGGTTGCATCCTCAACAAAACCCATTTTCCATAAAATTACCTTAGACGCCAGGATCCCCATCATAAATCTATACACCACCTCCCGTGCCTTGGCTGGTATACGAAGCCGCCGGAATTCCTCCCAAATTACCTTCCAATTATATATGGGATAAATCTCCACCCCTGACAATGCTTCCTGGGTTAGGTTAGGGTAATTATTAAGGGTACAATGACCTGGGGTGTGTAGCAACCTGGTACTGTAGTTTTAACCCTTTCAGGGTCCACAGACCCTCTCAGAGACTTGTTCTCAGGTCCCCCAATTTAAAAAAAAAAATTCTTGTGAGAAGATAGAGGATCTTTTCCTGATCATAACAACACCAAAAGTATGAAATTTGATGGAAAACTTAGGGAATTATGCTCTCGCGAAGTTAGCTGTCTCAACGATGTTTACACATCGGCGATTTTGCCCACTTTGAGCCCTATTTTCGGCCAGTTCCAGTGTACTTATCGACAAAAAATCATACCTATTTAGCTAGGACTCCATTTTTTCTATCGAATGAGTACAAGAAACCACCTATTTACCGATTTCAACTATCCAATAAAGTGGTCGGAATTTAGCAATTTTGCCAATTTCACACAAATTTCAAAAGATGCTAATTTCCAAATAGGGTCCAGAATAAAGAAGAAACACATTCCTGGCACTAAAATAACATTTCCTCTGTTCATTAGTCACGTCCCCACGCCCCTCTTACATTCTTTTGCTTTCCATTTTGAATTTTTATTCTCGCAAAAAATAGAAGATTTACTGTTACGCAGACTACTGCATTAGTGTAGAAATAGTATAAAGAATATCGGTGCACTTGTGAAAGAATATTAGACTCGCCAGTTGACGTGTATTGGATGCTTAGTGTGATTTGTTTACTTTTGAACTTTGGTAAAAATCGAACATTTCTGCTTTGAGCTCAATTTCAAGGTACTTTTCATTGTAAAACCAGTCAAAATCATCTCAATTTGTGTAATATGTCTTCCATTCTATAAAATGAGACCAGGAAAACTAGAATACAATAATAAATACCATAGGAAAATACAAAGTCGCTGTTTTAATCCAAAAACACGGTCAGTTTTTTTTTCTCATTACGCACTGTGTGCTGCAGGATTTTTTTTACACTGTGTACACACCACATAGGGGTTTTGGCATGTTGCACTTAACTGTATTCATTTGTACTACTCTGTATCATGTTCAAATTAATAAATAAATAAAGACCCATTCTTTCAAATGTAGGCCTACCAGCTTTCTCTCACTAGATTTGAAGGCACTAGAATTTATGAGTACTAGTACATCAAGGACCCTGGCACGTAAGCCGTACTAGTACGCCCGAAATCCTGAAAGGGTTAAGAAGTGTAGTGGCATAGTGTTGTAAGGCATGGCAAGGCTGCAAGTTCAGACAAGCATGCGGCTGAAGAATTCGTGCATGAATTCAACGAGTACATAGAGGCTGAAGAATTCGTCCCCCAACAAGTGTTCATTTGTGACAAAATGGGCCTCTTTTGGAAGAAAATACCAAAGAGGACCTACATCACCCAGGAGGAAAAGGCACTGCGAGGACACAAGCCTGTGAGAGATAGGCTAACTTTTGTTCTCTGGTAACGCTATTGGGGATTTCAAAGTGAAGCCTTTACTCGTGTATCACTCTGAAAATCCCCGGGTGTTCAAGAAAAACAATGCCATGAAGAGTGAATTGTGTGTAATGTGGAAGGCTAACAATAAGGCATGGGCCATGAGGCTAATTTTCATTGACTGGGTCAGTGAAGTGTTTGGTCCGAGTGTGAAGAAATACCTCCTGGAAAATAAATTGCCACAAGTTCCTGCTGGCACTGGACAATGCTCCTGCTCATCCTCCAGACTTGGAAGATCTATTGTTTGAGGAGTGTAATTTCATCACAGTGAAGTTCTTGCCCCCTAATACCACTACTCTCATCCAGACCCAGAATGGGTCACATAACCAGAGACCAAACAAAACATTACTCGTCAATCCTAACCAGCCTGATAAGATGGGCAAAAAAATTGTATTATGAGAACAGATTATCCAACTTATGAGGTGATATAAAAAAGACCTGGAAAACCCTATCAGAAATTCTAGGAACAAAAAAGATATCAAGAAATAGTGAAATAAAATTAGCAAAATCAGATGAACCCCAACTCCCACCAACAGAAACAGCAAACAGACTCAATGATTTCTTCTCCACTATAGGACAAAAACTTGCCAATAAAATCCCAAGCTCAGATACCCCACCAAATGACTACCTCACTGGCAACTACCCTAACACACTGTTCCTAGCTCCGACTAACCCATACGAAGTCTCCCTTATTATCAACACTAAAAAACAAGGCAGGAGATTTAAATACCCTACCACCCTTATACAAAAGTGTCACAAGTGCTATCACCAATCATTGCAACACTTTAACAAATCCATTGAGTCCTCCACCTTCCCTACAGTTCTCAAAATAGCAAGGGTCACCCCGATCCATGAAGGAGACCAAACAGAGTTGAATAACTATAGGCCAATATCCAATTTACACCCTCTCTCAAAAATCTTCGAAAAATTAATTCATAAACGAATCTACTCCTACCTCATCTCCCAAAACATACTCAACCCCTGCCAATTTGGATTCAGGCCTAATAAAAATACTAATGATGCTATTATACACATGCTAGAACATATATACACTGCAATAGAGAAAAAAGAAGTCCCACTGGGGGTCTTCATTGACTTACGTAAAGCTTTTGATACAGTTGACCATGACTTGCTCCACATAAAATTGTCACACTGGGATAAGAGGGCACTCCCTCAACTACCTCAAGTCATACCTCAGCAACAGAAGCCAATATGTGTACACAAATGGGGCAAACTCTTCTGCACAACCAGTTACAGTTGGTGTCCCACAGGGAAGTGTCCTTGGCCCTCTTCTCTTTCTCCTATACATAAATGACCTACCAAATGCTTCGCAATTACTCAAACCCACACTATTTGCAGATGACAC